CAAATCCTTCCTATAGCAGGATGCTCACTTCAGTCTGGAAGTCTTCATGTTGCAGCCTGCAGGAATCAGCTTATTTCCTGTCAAGGGCTGGAAAGCCTTACAGGAACTGGTTTTGGTTGAAGAACTTCTCCAAGGTGCTTACCTGTGGGACTTATCCAGGTAAGGGATGTTAGCTCCCTCTTCTTTGAGGTTCAGTGTCCAACCACTCCTACTGCTGTAAGAAGAACAGAAGAAACATCTGCCCATAGCAAGGACTGCACTGGTGGGCAAAGTCCAAATTCCATCCTTCAGGGAAAAAGAAACAAAGACTGAGGAATTCATGTCTGTTCAAAATTTCATCCTTGACTACTGAAAGCATTGGAAGCACATGTGTATGTTTAAAAATGGAATTGTCCTCATTTAAGAATAGAAATAATTTGATCCCATCACCATTTTTCTTGGTCCAATCCTGAACTGCAGATCCAAACAGCTGAGAAAGCATGGAATAGTCTGCTGGACAGCATTAAAATGAGCAACTCCTGTATCTTCCTAAGATAAGAACACAAATCACAAAGAAAGGCACTCTGAGAAAAAATTTCTTAGAGGAAGACCTCAATTATTTTCCAGCAAGGCAGGTAATATGCATTTGGCTATTTGTTAAAAAAAAACAAAAAACAAACAACAACTGTTTTTATACAAGATTTTACTCATATATTAACTATCACATATTTTGCAAAACAAAAAGAGACCACAGCAAAGTAAAATCCCAATTTTTTCCTATATTTAAGCTGTGATAGTATGTCTGAAATGGGAATCCAGAGCCTCACCAGATTAATATCACCACTTGGACCAGAGAATTTGCCATATCCACTTCTGGTTTCGTTCAGTTGGAGCTTCTGTTTGTACAGTGATGGCTCTTGAACATTCTGGGATTTAAAGTAGTCCCTGAAGAGATGCCTGACAAAAATATGATGTTACTTTTAAGATGCTTTCTAATTATTTCTACCCTCATCCAGAACTTGCAAACATCTGATCTCCTTCACTATGCTCCAAGCTCATTAAAACTGGAACGCTAAATAAGAATATTCAAAATATTTTGTTTTGCATTGCTAAAGGCACCACTGCAGGTACTTGACTCATCCTTCAGACTGTAAATAAATAAATGAAGTCTAGGACAGGTCAAATAAAGACACTATGTTTTGTTGGGGTTTGTTTTAGAAGACATAGTAGATTTGAAACAGATCTTTTATTAAGGAATTGTTCCTAAGGGACTTGACTTACAGAAATTAATTTATACTTGGCAGTGCATTTGATTGATTGCAGTTCCTTTTTTTCAAATACAAACCAGCATTTTCACTACCAGGTGTGGTGGTTGGAAATGTTGGGACTGTAGAACACTGCAAGGCTAATTTCTCCTCCAGTCTCCATCATTTTTATGTAGCTCAGCATTTTCTCATCCTTACTGAGATCTGCTGCAAATTTAAAATACCCTAACAGGGCTGAGAGAGTATTGCAACAGTGTTTATCTAGTGTATCATTACAGTTCTTGTTACCCTAATTCCACAGTTCTGAGCAACAACGGGCTGAGAGAGTATTGCAACAGTGTTTATCTAGTGTATCATTACAGTTCTTGTAACCCTAATTCCACAGTTCTGAGCAACAACTCTCATTTTATGGGCAGGTAATTGAGCTCTATGATACATGAATTGATTTGCAGGGGAAATACATTAAAACCTGGTTGGAAAAGAAAATTATTCAGGATCTTCACTCTGATTGCCTTTTACAGCTACCACTCTAGGACCACTAAAAGAGTTTACTTTAGCTCATGTCAATGAAGCTACAATTCAGTGTTTGTCCCAAAAATGTTCACATTCTAAAATGAAGGTGAGGTTACTGTGGTTTCCTGAGTTATAAAGGCAGAATTAAAAATTACTGCAGATTCTTAGATCAGGACCACTTCCCAGCTCAAGAACTATTTAGTGGGAAGAGCCAAGGCAAAAGGCAAAATTCGAGCAAGTGTTGCTGATCAAGTGAGTTATGGGTTCTACATGAAAATGTTAGCAAGGGTGATCCAGTCAGATCTCATGTCTGCCTGTGGTTCAGCACTGCAGCTGCTAACACCCAGAGCACCAGATCAAATCACTCCTGAGGAGCAGGTTTGTTCAAGCAGGCACTGTTGTTTCAGGACCAGTGAAAGACAGGACAGAGACAAAATTGATAGTACTCCCTCAGTGCAAACAGAACTTGCCCTGCAACAAATTTGCTCCTCTCTGGCCCTACTTTTAACATCCCTGTTCTCAAATTCCTATTTTTAGCAGCTTCTCATAAAAGGCATTCTTACTCAGAGAAGTGAATGTTAGAAGTGTTCATTTGAATGAAGCAAACAATTAAGCAACATCTTCCCTAAAGTGATTTTGTAAAAGTTATGGTTTAGTTTTCTTCCTAATTGCTTGGAAAAATCGGATTGGCGCAGGAAATGGGAAGGGTTGGCTAAAAGGAGTCAGCTGATGGGAAGCAGCCAGTAACTCCTGCTGCTGCTGACCTGCTGCAACTCCCAGGTAAGAGGACAAGTGCCTCATTTGTAATCAAGTCTATATAAAACACAAAAGAGGCAGAAGGACAAACCTGGTTCATAAAGGCAGCAGTCTGTGAGCAAAAGCAGCAGAGTCAGCAGCCAGTGTTTCACTCCTGATGAGAGCCCACTTGCAAAAGTTCCACTTGAGTACCTGCTGCAGAGCAGAGGCTGTTCTTCACTGATGTGTCAAACCATGACAGCCATACTTCTGTTGCTATTCAAAGAACAGGGATAAACTCCAGGGTTTGTTAGGTTTTAAATAGTTTCCAATTTCAGGCCTAATAGAAGGCAAAATGGAAAATATCACATGTAATAGGACTTAAAAATAGAAATATGGAAGAACACAATGTTATACTCATGTTACCTATTACTTTTTTCAGCTGAGCAAAGTCTTCACAAACACTATAAATACATATCTTTTTCCCCCAATGAAAATAATAATAATAATAAAAAAATCTGTCTTGTAACCTGCAAGAAAAGAGATAAAACCAAAGCAAACCTGATTCTTGTAAACAGAAAATGTTGCTTAAAAATTCAGTTTGGGGAGCATAAATATTTAATTGCCTTGAGCATGTCTTAGGAGTTCAGATTTACTCAAAATAGTATCAAGAGCAAACAAAACTGCAAAACAATCTCTTTTAGTAGGAAATACCTTGTGAGAATCAAGTGTTTTCTTATCATCTTTCACTGTTTCACTTGATGTCTGAATCTTCTAACTCCAACTCCTAGAACAGCATCAGTGGGGGAGAGAGACAATGAACACTCCTTCTGTTATTTGACTGACTGCAAGGTTTTGACATGTAGAGTATTAATAAAAATAATTTATTTTCACAGGGTTTTGTTAGAATAACAAGCTGGTAGCTTTAAATATGGTTAAGAAAATTTTATATATGTTAGGAAAAAGGAAACAAAAAGAAACATTTGAAGTAGTAGGACAAAACCTTCATAAAAAAGGTATATATCAGATATACATATTTATATTCATATATATATGTATCTCCAATTTCCCAAAGCATTGCTCTAAGAATTAGACAAATCTGGCTACAAAATTCAGATTTTTAAGGTTATTTATTGACTGTAAAGTGAATCCTGACTGATAATAAATATCACTGGGGAACATTAATTATTAAATATACATTGTCCAATCTTTAACAAATCAACTTTAGTAAGAACAGTTTTAAAACTAAAATTAAAAACAATTTCTAGGACACTTATTTAAGTAATTGCACTAATAAATAGTAAGACCTTATATACAGTTAAATGACTAGCAGCCAACTCACATAATCATAGTAAGAATAATATATATGTACTGCAATTTTAAGTGTTATGACTTCAAGAATTTGTAGTAATAACCAAGCATTACTTGCTAAATAACACAAAATTTGTCTGATTAAGTCTGTTTAAAAGAATATGCAATGGGAATAACTAAGAGCTGAAATTAATGCTAAGTGCTAGCTTGTAAACACAGAAATTTACTTCTGACAAGTAGGAAAACACGCAATATATTCCTATAGTTAACACATGTTCGTAGTACAGACATTCCTGTTAATAAATTTCAGGTTAAAATTGACAAATGTGGCATGTTCTACTATATGGAATTTCTTCAAGTGACTATTATTCCATCTGACAACACAAACTAAAAAATGTCCTGCCTCTCAGAAATATTATTCTGTTTCTGCTTTTTACTTTATTTTTTTCTTTTTTATTTTTCACTTTTAGAAAAACACAGATTTTTTTTTTTTTAGTTTTAGAAAAATATAGGACAAAAACAAGGCTTAAGTTTTAGATAGGGAAGAGGGAATAAGGAGATGCTTTATAAGCTGAAATATTTTTCTCTTAAAGCTATGGAGATGGACAACCATGTTCTGAAAAATACTCCTTTAATTCATGGCAGAGTATATTGGGAAGCATGGAGTGTTCAAAGTGTGGATTTTGAGTAAAAAGTAGAGTAATTGTGATACAGTGAGGCGCTGGAACAGAGTGGAGCGAAGATTTGAGGCCTTGAGGGCAATGAGAAAACTGTTTTCCTGCGAAGCTCACAGAGACAGGATGAAGAGGACTCATGGCCCATACACACCTCAGAGTGATGTGAAATGGGAGGAGTGAACTGATGGCAGATTTCCGGGCAGCTGGCATCAAACAAATAGAAAACTATAACAGAAATATTTTTCTTGTGAGAAACTCCATAGATTAGCAGAAGAAGATTTCTGTTTCTATACAAACACTGATAAAGAGACTCTAGCAAGAACTGGGACTGTTTTAAACACCAAAGTTCCAAAGTCTTTTGTCTCTATCTTGTCATGTGAACAAGGGAATGGTGGGGAGTGCGGGATAAAAGGGTTTTCTGAAAGTTTATTCTGGTGTTCTTATTCTTGTAGTTTTGTTAATAAACTTTCTTTATTCCTTTTAACTTTTAAGCCTGTTTTGCTCTTGCTCTAATCCATATCTCACAGCAAGAAATAAGTAAGTTTTCTAGTAATTTTTCAGTTACTGCTTTAAAACCACGACAACTGTGTTTTCACCATCACGTCAGATCAGCTCTTTGACTCACAGCTCACCACAGACCTCGAAACAGGAGGCAAAGATCTGCACCACTTGGCCTTTCAGAACTTCTCACCCATCTATGACCTTTCTGGGGCCAGCTTCACAAAATGGGGGGGAAGCCATTCCAAGGAACACGACCAAGGAAATCACACAGCACTCGGGACTTGTTCCAGGCATCAAATTTTTAATGGATGATGTGAAGTAACACCGAAGCAATTCCTGTCCACAGAAAAAAAGATTTCAAATGGTTTTGTCTCAAGTACAATCACTGGAGGTTGAAAATTTCTGGGGCTGAAAGTTACATGAGGTCCTCAACACTGAGCAATCAATATCCCCACAGTCTAAACTGTGAAATTACTACCTGGGCAAGGAGAACATTTTCAGGATTTGCAACTCATCTCAAAGCCTCAGTAGAACTCAACCAGCAGAATTCCCCTGAGATGGCACTGTGTTCTGGAAGCCCTCAAATACTCACTAAAACAGACTTGACTTTCACTAGGACAGCTGCTCATGAAAATCTGGGGTAAAACCTATGGGCAGTGGCCATGTGCACGCATATTCCTTCTTCCCACAGCAGGCACAATCAAATCCTCCTTTGAATGGCCTCCAAGTTGAGCAGCACTCATTGGCACAGCCTCTTCTCCCACAGACAGGCCAGCGAGCAACACGGCAGCGCCAGCCAGGTGGGCAAGGACAAGAGAGAGCAGATGCCAACAAGGCTTGGAAGCTGGGCCAAGGGAGGTTTACGCTGGCCATTGGGAAGAACTTGTGCCCAGCGTGGGCCATTAGATACTGCAATGGCCTGACAGGGGCTGCTGGAGTCATCATTGTGGCACGGGTGCAAGGCAAGCCAGGCCGCAGCGCTCGGGCCCCGCTCTGCTGGCCATGCTTGCCGCCATGGCTCCCAGCTTGGACTCAACATTCTCTCAGGGCTCTCTGCAGCCAGGGCGTTCTGTGCTTCTGTGACATCACAGCCTCTGGGGACGGCACGCTGGCTGGCAACTGTCCCCAGCTGTTGCTGCGCCCCAGAGCCCAGGCACAGCTGCTCGCAGAGAGATGCCCAGAGCCTCGGTGCTGCTGGCAGAGCACTATGGCTGCTCACGGCTCCTCCGCGCTGCTGCAGCTTTACGTGCTGCTGCTCTTGGCTCATCCCCTCGACCCTGTGAGCAAACCTGAGCGCAGCACGGGTGCCTCTCCTCTGCTTCTGGAGGATTGCCATCTGGACGAGTCGGACCCTGAGCGCATCCGGTGGGCGGCCAGGACATTCCTGCTCATCGACCTGCTCATCATAGGAATGGCCATGGGATGGTCTCTAGGAAAAAGAATTCAGAGATGCTGGCGAGAGGTGAGGCAGGGGCTGGGGGGTCAGGCAGGCGGGATGGGGAAGACCTTGAGGGCCTCTTGGGCACCCTTTGGCCAATGCCCTGCGGCAGAAGGGGCCTGAGCTCCTGGCTGGGGAATGCGGCCCAGGGGCTGAGCCCCATGGACAGCACCAAGCAGAGGCGGCAGAGCTCTGCCTGCTGCAGCCTCTTCCCCGGGCCAGCCCAGCCCAACTCAGCCCGAGTCTCTGTCTCCCAGGCCAAAGGCAGCCCCACAGGTGCCGGCCCCGCTCTGCCTCTCTGCCTCTTCCATGCAGATCCCTGTGCTTTGCCTTGCAGCGGAATCTCCAGAGCCCTTCGGGCCGTGCGGGGCCCCGCTGCCATCGAAGACAGGGCTGTCCCACGGAGTTGATGCAGCTGCTGATGGACAACCGTGACCTGATGCGGCTGCTCCTTCGCGACAGCCCTCAACCAACCACCAAGACGGCGGCAAAAGAGGGCAGTGACAGGAGACTCCGCACCTCCCCACAGCTCTGACCTCCAGCGTCGCGCTCCATCTAAAGAACCTTATGGGGAACGGGTGACCAGTGCCCAGCCCAGGCACTGCGACGTTCCCCACCTTACAAGTTAGCCACACCCCTGTTGTTGTTCGATTCCCCACCACGTTTCCCCCAAGAAGTTGACCTTTCCCTTAGTGTTCAGTTCTAAACAGTTGAAGCATTGAAGTTTTTTAGACTTAAGATTCTTACCCCATAGTCTTCTAGTAACGTTGGATTGTAGATTTTAGAAGTAGTCAATAAAGTTCACGTTTTCTACATGTTGCTGTGTCATTTTCTTGAGGTTGCACCTGAGACCTGGGGACTCCTTGAGAGATGGCTTTGCATGGCAGCTCCAGACTGCCTGCAATGGAGAGCCCCAGTGCCCCAGCAGGCTTTGCAAGAGCACGGAGGGCAGCGGGAAAGAAGAAGGTGGCCAATATTCACCTGCCTCCACCTTCCAAGGAAGCTTGCAGTCAAACCCTGTCTGCCCTTTAGGTGGGACCCTAAAGGCCCCGGCAGGCATCACCATGGCCTCAGGATGGTGGCTTGCAGCACTCTGGGGCACCAGGAAAGGAGCAGGATCATCCCTGGAAAGCTGTCTGGAAAGAAATCCAGAGACGTCTCCCCTGGCATCCAGGCAGGGGCTGAATTCAGGCCCTTGAATCATTTTTCCCTGAAAATTAGCATGCACTAACCCACTAATGGGAAGTGCACAATCAAACAGTGCACTGGACTCAGGAAACTCTCCTTCTGTAACTACATGCCGGTTCCAAACTATCACAGAGCTGGGTCTGAAAGAATAATATTAAAATATGTGCTATGGTATTGACCAAATTCGTTATTTTTTCCTGTTGAAAGCAAAGGCTGTATTTCAATTTAAACGGGAGAAGAAAAATGATAGATGAAAAATTGATTTTTACTGTCTTAGATTTGTTTGCCTGGGGGAATATTGGCTTCAAATTTGAAAGCCTGCATCTTCACATACAAGTCATAACCTTCTATTTCATGCCCCAACTTTTGGCTGCTTCAATATAAAACACTACACAAGATTCCCACCTGGCTTACTGAAAAACACAAGACTTTATAGGCTGGGAATCTCCAGTTTTAGGAATTTAGCAAGAAACTCTTGCTATAACTTGTCTCACTGCATTTCCATATCTATAGACTTTAATTAAAGAACCTCAAAAGCTTTTGTGTCGGGAGGCACCTTAAAGACCATCTCGTTCCAACACTCCTGTCGTTTCTTAATGCCAAATATTCTTTCAGTGATAACTGAAGTGCTTTGTTGGTGCTGTGAATAGAAATACACAAATAAGTAGTTGCTTAAGTGCCACCATACACAATAAGTTGTGGCACAGTCTCATGCAGAGACACAGAAGAAATTTTGCCAACAATTACACCTTCCAGTTTATGATTTAAACCACCACAAAGCAGATATTAATATCTGCTGTGGGTGCTCTTCCAACGGAATTGCAAAGGGGATATCAATCAAGATATAACTTTTCACAGGATTAAGACTTTGCATAAATATTAATCCTTTTACTCTGTCTAGAGCTGTCAAGAACTTCATAATATAGGCCACTTCCTAGTTTACATTTTAAGAGCATGAACTGCTTATAGTGTGTTTTTATAATGAAATGTGCACTGCTAATGCGATTTTTTTTTCTTTTGCACAACACTTTAAAAATATTAGCTTCAATTTCTGAGCTAATTATTAAAATCTCCTTTCTGTCAGAGAAAATGCTTAAAAGCACCTTCTGTTTTCATAGAAATAACTGTATTTTAAATAGGAACTATCCTTCTATTTTTTTGTCGAAAACTGAATGGTTGTGCTGCACAATAATTTATATTATGTGGTATGCATGAATTATTTTATTACCATTTCATTAGATCTCTATGCAGTTTTCTGAAGCAAATGCCATTCATAAGCAATGAATGTTTGAATCAAGTAATTGCTCAGAAAACCTCCAGTATTATCCTGAACTAGGGATGAGGAGTCGTCTTTTTAGTACCGGCACGTCAGCAAAACAGCTCATCGCCCATTTACTGCCTCATTCCGTTGTGTTTCACAACCATGCTCAAGCTGTATAAAATGAAGAAAAGCAATCTCACTATGGGGGCCTTGACTACAAAAAGAAACCCACATCTTCTCTTCAGTGTCTGCAGCTCCTCATGTGCAATTTCCTGTACAGCACACGCTGTGCGGTACGCAATTTGAGAAAGGTGGACCGGTCCAAAAATAAACACAGCTATGGAATACATTTGATTGCTCTTCAGAAAAACAAACGACAATTAGCTGATTACAAAAATCATTCATCTTAAAAAAAAACTCTCTCACTGTGCTTAAGCCCCATAAATATCTAAAATTTGCTTGGATGCAAACTTCACCATCCGTACCGCTTGTGTTGCACGATAACCAGTTCCTGCTTCAGAGTAACTGAAGAAATGGCAATCATGATTTTAGATAAATATACTGATTGTCATGGGGCTGTAAATCTGTGGGGAGACAAAGTTCTCTTGCTGCAGAGAACAGGAAATACCACCTGTGTTTCCAATTACACTTGTCTGCTTGGGCAAGGTGGGATTTTTCTCACCCTTCAAAGCTACTCCTTTAGGAGAAACAATGAAAGAAGTTAGGACTGGGACACAAATCCTACCAAGCAGGTTTACACCAAATTTAAGGACTAACACCTAAAAAAAAATATATATATATCTATTCCTTCATCTCATCATCAAATAGTTGTGGCAAGTTGATCTTGTCCAGATGTGAGGACCCCACACCCAGCCAGCCACTCTCTCTCCACAACACAACAGGCTGATAAGATGAAAAAGCCCTTGAGTCAAGATAAAGACAGGGTGATTATTTTCCACTTATTATCACAGGCAAAACAGATCTAAGGATAAATTAGTTTAATGTAACACCAGTTAAAAATAAACACAGCTACGGAATACATTTGATTGCTCTTCAGAAAAACAAACGACAATTAGCTGATTACAAAAATCATTCATCTTAAAAAAAAACTCTCTCACTGTGCTTAAGCCCCATAAATATCTAAAATTTGCTTGGATGCAAACTTCACCATCCGTACCGCTTGTGTTGCACGATAACCAGTTCCTGCTTCAGAGTAACTGAAGAAATGGCAATCATGATTTTAGATAAATATACTGATTGTCATGGGGCTGT